TAAAATATATTTTATTGATTTTTCACAGAGAGGAAGGGAGAGGGATAGAGAGTTAGAAACATCGATGAGAGAGGAACATCGATCAGCTGCCTCCTGCACACCTCCTACTGGGGATGTGCCCGCCACCAAGGTACGTGCCCTTGGTCAGAATCGAACCTGGGACCTTTCAGTCCGTAGGCCGACGCTCTATCCACTGAGCCAAACCGGTTAGGGCACATTTAACAACATTTTTACTTGCCAAATTTACATGCGAAGTTAAAGTTTACCCCATGGCCAGCCAGTGTGGTTCAGTGGTTGAGCGTCCACCTATGAACTAGGAGTTCACAGTTCGATTCCTGGTCAGGGGACGAGTTGCAGACTCCATCCCCAGTGGGGGGCGTGCAGGAGGCAGCTGATCAATGATTCTCTCTCATCATTGATGTTTCTATCTCTCTCCCCCTCTCTCTTCCTCTCTGAAATCAATAAAAATATATTAAAAACATAAAATAAAGTTTAGCCCATGGCTTTAGAGTGAGTTGCCTGAATATACATACTCCTTATTAAATATTCGTGTGAACACAACCGATACCAACAGCTCACTGTCCTTTTCATTCTGTTCTGTTGAAAACAAAGAGAGGAACTACAAGATGAAAGCGAGTTGGGTTTGAATATATAAGTATATATTTTGAAATTAGTAATGTGTACAACTTAGGTGTTTCCACTTTGAGAAGAATGCAGCTCTAAGAATGAAATTTGCGACTGACGTACTGTTGTCACTTCTGTAGGGAACTGGTAATTGCGCAATCTCCAAATGGGAGCCAGATCCGCTCAAGAAAGAAATGACAGTTAAGAATGTTATTGATGCAGAGATTATTAAAGGTAAAATAAGTTAATTAAACTACTTTTGGTAATTATTAGTGAGTTCTAATGTTCATGTCAATATTCTGAGTCTGGCTTTTGGGTCCTTGACCAAACCTCTCTTTGAAACGAGGCAGATTAAATTGATAATTTTCCACATACATGACTTTTTCTTGATATGTTACCTTTGTTACTCTTTTTTTTTTTTTTTGGAAGTTTTACATTTTAGTGATCATCTAAAAAATATAGAAACAGGAATAAATGAGAATGGGAACTTTTTGTCCATAAATATTACTTTACTATTTAAACATAGCTATATGTAATGCAGAATATAATCCTTATACACCTTGCTTTCTCTTTTGTAGGTGCAAAGAAGTTCCAGCTGATAGATAATCTGCTTTTTGTTCTTGATGCTGATGTATGTTTTTGACATTTCTCCTTTCATGTTTCCCCTTCGTATTGTGTTTAATACCAAAAATGTTGTCAGACTTACAAAGACACTGACCTTAGCCAATGTGGATGAAATACTGTCTTGTGTATTATGAGATATATATATATATATCCTGAAATGGAAATCTTTAAGTCATTAAGAAGATGTGTCAATGAAATGTCTCTCTTGCAGAATGTGCTGAGCTTATGGGATATTTACACTCTAATTCCCATATGGAACTGGCCCTCTCTTCACGTAGAAGAGTTCCTTCTTACCACCGAAGCAGATTCGCCTTCTTCAGTCACGCGGTACGTTGTGATGCTGGTAGTGCTTGCCCTTCTGTTAGGACCAGGTTTCTTGCCCGGTTCTGATCTCATCATTCACTGTATATCGCATTCTAAGTAGCACTGTGAACAGACCGACAGGGTAAAGACCATGTCATTGTTGGCCAAGCTTATTGAGAACAGGCAATACGAACCTTCAAGTGATTGTGTTAGAGTGTCTGTCCAAAATAAATAAGCCAACAGGCAAGCAAAGGAAGTTTGCATCTTGCTTGAGTTATGCATCCAGATTAAAAATGACTAATAAAAAAGAAGAGTGTCAGTCTTCTGAACCATAATGTGTAGAAATCAAGTTCAATGTCATCTGTGTATGAATTTTAAATTTTATGCAGAATGTCACTTTGACTTAGCTTACAAATCTTATGTGATTCACTTAACCCTTCTTTTCTCTTTTAGGCAAGGGATTACAAATCTCAAATTAGTAGCTCTGACATCTACTAATAAGAAGGTACTAGAAAATTTGTTTCACGTTGTGTTTTCATATTATGTGTTAGAAGTAGCATTAATATAAAAGTAGTTGTTAGGTAATGCTCACAACATATTCGCTCTTAGTTCATGCAGACCCCTCACAAATCAGAAATAACCCTGCAAGAGTTCTTTTTTTCCTGTTTAAAAAATATGGATATAAATCCCAGTTCTACATTTTAGTTGGGGCATTTTAGGAATAAAATGTCCATAAGAGAATGTTAATTAAAGTGACTCCTGCCCGACCAGGGTGGCTCAGTGGTTGAGCATCAACCTATGAGCCAAGAGGTCACAGTTCAATTTCTGGTCAGGACACTTTCCTTGGTTATGGGCTCGATCCCCAGTAGAGGGCGTGCAAGAGGCAGCTGATCCATGATTCTCTCATTGATGTTTCTATCTCTTCCTCTATGAAATCAATAAAAATACATTTAAAAATAAAGTGACTCTTACATAGTTCTGACACTGAAGGATTACATTCACCTTAAATACAGATTGTAGAATGGACTTGAGCTATGTGGATTTTCATTCTTCAGATTTGGAAGGTGGGATGGAACATAATTTTATATGTAACATTTACGTAAGACAGTAACAGACTCAAAATTAGTTTTCCCATGTTGCTCTGTACCAAGTGTTTTAATCTGTGTCCTTGATTGTGAAGTGCTGGCTTGTGCTCGGAGGTTTATATTGACCTACTAAATTAATTGCTCTACTTTTTTTTCCCCAGATGAAAAATTTCATGGTCTATTCATTACCTATGATGGAAATACTGTACTCTTTGGAAGTTTCTGGTGTTTCTTCTCTGGTCCAAACAGGAATTAGCACAGTAAGTTGATGTACATTTTGAACTACTTTATATTTAAAAAATTAAGAATAAGCTAAGCCTGAGTGGAATTTAGTGGAATACCTGAGTAGATCACAGGTTTATAACTATATTTATTGTTATCATATATCCTCAAATACATTTGCCCAAGGTCAGTCTTCATTTTAAAAAAAAGAACAGAAAGTTAATCAAATAAAATATCAGTCAATTACACATTCCATTTTCTTGTGTCTTCACAAGAAATTTAGATGATAACGAGGCAGGGAGATATTGTTTTTATTTAATTTTTAACTGTGATCTTTTTCTTTTTTTTTTAAAATATGCGTGTCATCCTTGCACAGGGGCCATGCTAATCTTCTCTGTATCGTTCCAATTTTAGTATATGTGCTGCCGAAGCGAGCACTTAACTGTGATCTTTAAAAACATTTTTAATTGCCCACATCATGACCTATCACCCCTAAGTACTTCAGCAGGTATCTCCGAAGAATAAAGACATTCTTCTGCAACACAGTTATCACACTTACAAAATTTAACTATTATGAGTTATACCATCCAAATTCAAATGTTATCAATTGTGGCAAAGCTATTTTTTTTTAAGCTATATTTTTTTCTGATCCAGGATCCAACCAAGCATCATGTATCGGATTTCGTTGTCATGGTCACGTGGTAGTCTACTTAAATCTGAACCTTTCCCTAATCTTTTTTTGTCTCCTACGATATTGACATTTTTTGAGTCCTAGGCTGCTGTGTTATAGAATATCCCTCTATTTCAGCGGTTCTCAACCTGTGAGTCACGACCCCTTTGGGGGTCGAACGACCCATTCACAGGGGTCGCCTAAGACCATCGGAAAACACATATATAATTACATATTGTTTTTGTGATTAATCACTATGCTTTAATTATTTTCAATTTGTAACAATGAAATTGGGGGTCACCACAACAGGAGGAACTGTATTAAAGGGTTGCGGCATTAGGAAGGTTGAGAACCACTGCTCTAGTTGGATTTGTTTGTTCCATCATGATTAGGTTCATGCTAATCTTTTTTGGCAAGAACACTGCATAGGTAACATTGTGTTCTAGCTGCATTACATTAAGGGGCTCATGTCTGTTTGTCCTGCTTTGGTGTTGTTACATTTGATGACATGGTTAAGGCGGCGATGCCAGATTTCCATTGTAAAGGTACCTTTCGCCCTTTGTATGTAGTAAGTTGTTTTTGTGGTGTTATTTTGAGACTACGGGAATATTCTTTTCCCCAACAGTTTTCCCAGTGATTTTAGAATTCCATTGATAACTTTTTCCTAAACCAGTTGTTACTCTAGTAACTATAAAATGAATTAATTCTGACCCTAACGGTTTGGTTCCGTGGATAGATCATAGGCCTGCAGACTGAATGGTCCTGGGATCGATTCTAGTCACGGGCACGTACCTCAGCTACAGGATCTTCCCCCGGCCTTGGTCAGAGCTTGTGCAGCAGGCAACCAATTGATGTGTTTCTCTCACATCAATATTTCTTTGTCTTTCCCTCTCTCTTCCACTCTCTCTAAAAATCAATGGAAAAATATCCTCGGGTGTGAACTAAAAAATAATAATAATAATTAAAAAAAAATGAGAAAACTCCTGTTACTATTTTTAAAAATGAATTAATTCTGTACATTAATTTTAAACATGTTTTTGTTATTATTGTAGGATACCATATACCTTCTGGAGGGAATTTGCAAAAATGATCCAGAGTAGGTCATGCTTTGTTTCATCAGATAAGTTGTTAAATAACAGCTAAGTTAAATTTTACTTATTAATATGAATGACAAATGCACTTAGAGTGAAAACTTTTTTTCAGGCTCTCTGAAGACTCAGTCTCTGTCTTAGTACTCAGATGTCTTACAGAAGCTTTACCAGAAAACAGGTAACTTCTCATTTTCTTTTAACCTTTACCCCTTAATAAAAAACTTAAATCCCGTGATTAATAAAAATTTTACCGAAATTTTTGCCCCCACTTCACAGATTGAGTCGGTTACTTCACAAACACAAATTTGCTGAAGCTGAGAGCTTTGCCATTCAGTTTGGGCTGGATGTTGAGGTAGTCACTCGTGAATTTATTTGTTCATTGAAAAACATTTTTTTTCATGTACCAGATGCTAGAGAGACAGCATTTTTGGCTTCAAGGTACTTGATGTGGCATGTTTATATTACAGCTTGTTTACAAGGTGAAATCAAATGATATATTGGAGAAACTCGCTCTGAGTTCTGTGGACACCAGTGAGCAGACCGAATGGCAGAAACTAGTAGATGAGGCTAAGGAGACTCTACGTAAAATCCAGGTGTGTTTTCCCTGCCATGTGTTAGGGTGTCTGGATTGACAGATGGGTCAACGTTAGGTCACCTCACTATGTCTGGCATTTATGCAACAGGACGATGACTTTGTGGTGAATTACTGCTTGGAGGCTCAGTGGATAACCTATGAAACGACCCAGGAAATGCTAAATTATGCCAAAACCAGGGTACGTTTTCATAACATTTAAAACGTGTTTGTCTTATGCAAAACAAATAATTTCAAAAATAACGAGCTCTTTTTCTATCATAGGCCTTTTAAAAAGAGTATTTTTGCTGTTGACTGTTCTCAGTGACCTTTGAACACCACTGCTAGTTATATTCCTTAAAATCCAGGTGTAACAGATGGGCAAAATGTTGGGAGCTTCTTTCATAAAGCGCATTGCTTTTTAAGATAGGTCATTCCTTTATTGTTCACTATTTATTTCAAAGTTTGATGCAATTTTATTTTTAGAGAGAATTTTTCCTTTAATTCACAAAAATACTCATCTTTCATGAAAAACCTAACAGCAGATATTCTAACTGTGTTTCTTGTTCATCTTAGCTTTTGAAAAAAGAAGACAGAACTGTTCTTGTCTATTCTTATGGCTTAAAAGAGGTAATTACATTATATTTATGGATTAATTTTCGAGTGAATATACTTTACAGTCAGGCACCACCTAATGGTCCTGAGAAATGTGTCGTTAGGTGATGTAGTCATTGTGCGAACACCACAGAGTGCACTTACCCAAACCTAGATGGTACAGGAGCATTTGAGCTCTTGCTCCCTGGCATACGTCATCGGTTTGGCTCAATAAATTCTTAAAGAATTAAAAAACACACACCACAAAACCCTAGGCGCGGTACAGTCTACTATATCGTATAGCCTGGCCTGTTGCTCCTAGACTACACCCTGTGTAGCATGTTACTGTTCTGAATACTGGAGGTCGTTTTAATAGCAACAGTGAGTATTTGCGCCATATCTAAACATAGAAAATATGCAGTAAAAATACTGTATAAAAGATAAAAACCAGTACCTCTATAGGGCACTTTCCATGGGTGGAACGGGCAGGATTGGAGGTTGCTCTGGATGAGTCTGTGAGTGAATGGTGATGAGTGTGAAAGCCTAGGACCTTACTGTCCACCACTGTGGACTTTAGAAACACGGCACAGTTAGGCTACATTAGAGTATAAAACAACATGAGATGAAATCAAGCACAAGAGAAAATGATGCAATCAGGAGCTGCAGTAAACAGCATGGATGAGGCTGCTGCTGGCAGAATGTGGCATACTGCTTTACAGAAAACTTTTTTTTCCTTTTTCTTGAACTTATTGGGGTGACACTAGTTAACAAAATTATACAGGTTTCAGGTGCACAATTCCACATCACATCATCTGTACACTGTATTGTGTATGTGTGCTCAAGTCGAATCTCCATCACCATTTATGCCCCCTATGCCCGCCTCCAGCTCCCCCCACCCCTCCTTCCCCACACTGTTGTCCATGTCTTTGAGTTTTTCCTCTTTTTTCCCCCTCAATGCCTCCACCACCACCCCACTCAGCCTCCCAAGCCCCCCACCCCGTAGCTGTCAGCCTGCTCTCTATCTATGGGTCTCTCTTTGGCTTGTTAGTACATTTTATTCATTAGATAGCACATATGAGAGAGATCATATAGTACCTGTCTTTCTCTGACTGGCTTATTTCATTTAACATAATGCTCTTCAGGTCTCTCCATGCTGTCGCAAAGAGTAAGATTTTTTTTTTTTTTACGGCCAAGTAGTATTCCATTGTGTAAATGTACCACAGGTTTTGAACTACTCATCTACTGATGGGCACTTGGCGCAGCAAACTTTTGTTTTAATGTTTCATTGATTTTTAGAGAGAGGAAGGGAGAGAGATAGATAGAAACATCGATGAGAGAGAGGAACATCATTGATTGGCTGCCTCTGCAGATTTGAGTCAGCATCCCGGGATGTGTCCTGACTGGGAATCGAACTGGCAGCCTCTTGGTTCCAGGGTTGATGCTCAACCACTGAGCCACACCAGCCGGGTGCCAGCTGTTTTTAGATAAGTAGAAAGAGTACACTAAAATAACAATAAAAAGTAAGTATAGTAAATACATAAACTAGAAACATAGTCATTTATTATCATCAAGTATTATGTATTGTACATAACACATGTACTATATTTCCATATGACTGGCAGTGCAGTAGATTTCTTTCCACCAGCATCACCACGAATATGTGGGTAATGCGTTGCACTATGATGTCACTAGGCTATAGGAATTTTTCAGTTCCATCATAATCTTACAGGACCACCATCGTATGTGTGGTCTGTCATTGACTGAAACATTATGCAGCTCATGACTGTATATTTTTCAATTAGAGATAGGCCTGTAGTATTTTTCAAGAGTAACTTTAATAACCAAATAGAGGGTTATTTTGAGGTCAAATGAAATTATTTAGATAAATCATTTTTTGCGTAGTGCCTGGCACCTGTTAAGCCTGCAAATAAATGTCAACTGTAATGATGATTGTTATGATACAAAAATGTGTGTGTGTGTGTGTGTGTGTGTGTGTGTGTGTGTACATGTGCATATATATTTTTTTAACTCTCAAATTAAATTTTTGGTATAATCTAGCTAGGTTCTACCCTGAGGGCATTTATAAATTAGTGGAAAACTAATTGCTTTTGAAGGCACCCACAATTAATGTGCAAATGGCTTCCTCTCTTTTGCAATTTTATTGTATTGAATGTGATTGGAAATGTTTCTTTTATTCCAACTCTTTTTTGTTTTGTGTTGAAAGGCAGACATACTTATGGGAATCGACAGGATGAGGCTTGTGTAAGCCTTCTCCAACAGAAGGTCTAATTTTAATAGTACTGCACACAGCATGCAGATGATCGGTTATTCCTTTTTAGGTCCTAAGGGCTCATGAAAAATTGACTACTTTTTATGGAGCATTTGGACCAGAAAAATTCAGGTGTGTGCATTCCTCCTTTTTAATGTTTAGATTGTGAATTAGATTTAAATTTGGAATGTCGTAAGAGATACAATATTGCTACGAATGAATTATGTTTCTGAGGATGGAAAATATTTGTCCCTGCTAAGCTTTAGGCAGTTCCTACATCATGTGTGGGAATTGCTACATTGGAAAGGCAAATTTAAATGCATATAGCTTTTGCCTTAGCAATTTCACATCTGGAAATAGATTTTATTAGATGTACTAACGTGTGCACCAAGAATACTATTATTTATAAGTACAACTACCCTAAAGATCACACAGTGTGTTTATCAGGATAAGTGAAAATGAAGGGAAGATTTATTTTGTCCTTGTGGCTAGTCATTTATTCCAATACTCATTAAATGACGTACATTTTCACTGCCAGTTGAAAGGTTCCCTTAATCATGTGCTAAAAATCTCACATGTATTTAAGTCTATCTCTGGGCTTTAATTGTATTCAATTGATCTCATCTCCCTATTCACTCACCAGTATCAAATAGTTTTAACTTAGGTAGTTTTTATTTTTATTTTTCAGGATTTGAAAGGCTATTTTCTCATGGTTGTATTTTTTTTTCTTTTGTATGACATTTGAAATCAGAATCAGCTTATGCAGTTTACAGAAATCTTATTTTTATTTTAATTGGGAATATGCTGAGCCTAACATCAATTTGGGGAGAAACAGCATCTTTACAATATTGAATCTTCCTAGTTAAGGACAGTATGTGTCTTTCTACTCATTCTCTCCTGTTTTTTTTATGTTCCTGAGTGGTATCGATTCACTCGTCTTTATATAAATTTTGTACTTTTTTTGTTTAAATTTTGTTTTATCTTTTTTTCTCTACTGTTACAAATGGGACTTTTTCCCCTCATATTTTCAGAAGAACATAGAGAAGTATTAAAATTAATTTTTACCCAGCTGCCTTACTGAATTTATTATTCATGGCAATATTTCAATTGCTCTGTTCTTTCCAAGTATATAATTATATATTTGAATAATGATAATTTTGCCTCATTTTTCCCCCTTGCCTAAGGTGATTGACTGGTGCTTATAAAATAATAAATAACAGTGGTTAATAGGTATTCTTGTTCCTGACATTATTGGAAATGCTTGTATGAATTTTTTTAAGTACAGATAGTATATAAATAAAACTCTCATTCCTTTAAAAATTAAAAATGGAGGCTTATGTATTTAGTCATTATCTCAGAAAGGACCTGCAAGAAGAGACATGACTTCCAGGGACAATACAGGAGGCTCATAGGTCAGAGATAAGAAGGAAATTTACTTTTCACTGTTTAATCTTTGGAACTTTTTAATAACTTTTTGGGGGGGGGAACTAGTTAAAATGCATAGTGATATCCACTTGTAACTA